CATCGGGAGCACGTTGCTGTATTACATCTAACAGCCTTTTCATTTCATCCAGATGAGCCGCTTGATGTGGCCAACACCCAAAAGGTTTGTTTACAAAGTGCATTTTTGAGTAGTTGAACAAATGCCAGTGGGCAGCCAGCGGGTCAGTTGCTGGCAACAATTTGCAGGTTTGGGCCAGGGTTTGTTGCGGCTGCCGGAAAAGTAGCTAAATAATGAAAGTAATTATATGTATAGCGGAGTAGGAGGTTTTCCTTTATTTTAAAAGCTTGGTTACTGATTTCACTAATTGATGACGATGCAACGATCACCGTGGAATCGTTCTGCAAATTGTTACCAGCAACAGACCCGCTGGCTGCCTGCTGGTATTTGTTCAATTACTGATAAATGCAAATCATTATAATGATTGCAGTGTTTTAACACTTTCAGCGATTTGCATTGCATTTAATAAGTACACATTCTTTACTTTTAAACAACCAATTTACCATTTAAAATTAAATAATTCCGTAAATCTGCGATTTATTATGCACTTTGTAAACAAACCTTTCAATTTCGCCTCAGCTGTTCGACTCTTCTTCTTTTTATACCCGAGCGCACTTGTGCACAAGGGTATTATAACTTTGTTCACATAACGGTTGTTTGTAACAGGCGAAACGAATCGAGATAGATATAGACAAATGTATACATAAATGATCAGGATGAAAAGAGAAATCGATTAAGCGGTGACTGTCTGTCCGTCCGTCCGTCCGTCTGTCCGTCCGTCTGTGCACACGATAACTCGAGTAAAAATTAAGATATCTTAACGAAACTTGGCACGTGTACTTCTTTCGGGCGTAGGACGGATGGTATTGAAAATGGGCAAAATCGGATAATAACCACGCCTACCTCCCATATAACGGTAATTTTCAGAAATACGAAAACTGCGATATTTTAGTAACTACTGAAGATTATTCACTCAAAATTGATATTTGCAATAACTTTTAGACGAAAAATAAGAATATTATAAATTTTTGAAAAATGGGCGTAGCCACGCCCACTTAGTGTTACATGTGTATATCTTGGCAACCGCTGCACCGATTTCTTCCAAACATGGCACAGTTATTGGCCTTGGTACAGGATACCAAATGGCCGAAAATTTAAAAAATGAGACAATAACCACGCCCACATCCCATATAACGGTAATTAGGAGAAATACGAAATCTTCGATAAATCCGTAAATATTGAAGCTAATGTATTCAAAATTGATGCTTGCAACAATTCTTTATCAGGAAATATGCTTATCATAAAATTTTGGAAAATGGGCGTGGCACCGCCCACTTATGATCACATATATGTATCTCGGTAACCGTTCTACCAATTTGTACCAAACTCGGTATGGTTATTGTGCTTGCCACATAAAAGCAAAACGTTCAAAATTATTGAAATCGGACTAAAATTACGGCTTTTCATATAACGGTAAATTTTAGAAATGCTCGAAACGTCAATATTTCGAAATTTAAGGACGCTAATTTATTCAAAATTGATACACCCCGGCTTACCATGTAGCTGTAGCTTCCGGAAAGGTGAAAAGGCATATATGTAATACTTGCGCCGGGTATTTAATGTTCGGCCCCGCCCGAACTTAGACTTTCTTACTTGTTCTTATTGAATTCGTCTTTTCTCTCTCATTCTGGTATATTCTGACGTTATGGCCAGTTGCTCTCAGCTCGATTGGCGCAATCTTGTATTCTATCATTCTTGCGCTACATCGTGATGTGATAAAAAGAAAAGCTGGCAGCACTCCGCAAGGTTGCAGAAATCTTTCAAAATATGTTCGAAAAATATCTCGATATGGAAGGGAACTGCTTTACACTGTCAAGGAAAGAAATTGCCAATACCCAAAGCAATTTTTAGTAACTTCAATCTTGCACTTTATTATACTAAAATATTTTTTTTTAGATTCTAATTAAAAGGTTTGCAAGTTAGGTGACAACTTGCAGAATTTTTTTATACAAAGTTTGATCCATAACTGAGATCTACCACATTTTTTTGAAATCTACCACATTTTTTCCAGATTCTACCACACAAATTTTTTTTTAAGTCCGATCACTAAATATAATATTGGCACACAGCATCCATGGGATCAATCATAACACACGACAGCTCGGTTTAGTCAGATTGCGCACTTACGGCACTACTCATTTGACGAAGTAGATCCTTTTTTATTTTTCCTGAGTTCGACCAGCACGAATCGCCAATTGCGACTGTGTAAGCCAATGCTTAATATTCTGACGGCGGCATAATCTCCCCAGAACACTAAAAGTGCATCATCAAAGAATTCGAATTACCATGTTCGAAGCAATCGAGCCAAAACCGCGAAAGAAACTTAAGCTCCAAATATTTTTATTTGTCGTTTTTTCCACAAGCAAATATCTTCTTCATATCCATCAACTGTAAATGGTACGGCAAAGAATTTACAAGCACACAAACACAAAAATATATAGCTCAAAGTGAACCATCCATTCTCGAGTTATGCGCCGTCTGGCGTACTCAACTTTGGTATATACATACATATAAATATTTATTTTTAATAACAATCCGGAGTTATATTCGATGTAAATAAGCTAGTTTAAATTAAATAACTAAATCAAATTGGTTTTTGTTTTAAAATACCACTATCCCCACCTTTTTGTGGAATTTAGCTACCATTTTAGGAAGTTTGATTGAATTCTTCCCTTTTTCCCCTGCTTCCAAAAACCATCCCTGTGGGTGGGAGTGTCAAATTTTAGAAAAAAGCTACTTACAAAACCTTTCATTATTGAATCATGTGCTTCCACTAAATTAATGTATTTTTCTCACAAAAGGTTTTCAGAACAGTGCCTTTTAAGTTTTAGAGCTGGTTAGAGTTGGTTATTGGAGCAGTGTCTCATCAGCGGCGCTACCAAAAGCGGTGTTATAAGCAAGTTCCAGGTAGGAAATTGTTAAATCCAACACATTTATGTTATGAGACTCTAACCAGTCTTTATGTTTGTGTTTCTTCCAACAGATTACTGGAGCAGTGCACACCAGTAGCATCATCACCCTCTACAACTAGGGATTTTTCAATTGCGTTTCAGGTAAGAATTTAGCAATTGCCAATGAATCGAATTGGTAATTTACTTTTTTATTTGTTTTTGTCTTACACCCATGCTTACACCATTGTGTATGATGTAATTATTAATAAACCATGGCTCACACTAATCACGGATTCGGTACTTATCTTCAAGCGTTTCTGCTCGGATGACTATGATGAGGGACTTTGGTCTGGCCACTTAAACGTATAATTATTTAATAGTATAACAGCTAGAATTTGGATGTGTAATTTTTAAATGGTAATAATATGTTTTAATGGATAGTACGTTATTTTTATTAGAAGTTAAAAATTATTAAATAAAGAGAACTGTTTAATTTTATTTGTTTTAATATGAATAAATGAAGGGCGGAAAGTAGTTCTTATTTTTTAAATTTTAATCAACCTCTTATGTGTGTGGTACATCTGTATGGCCTTTTAAGTTTTATTCTATATACATATATGTGAATGTCTGTTTGTTTATTACCTCATAACTTTTCAACCACTAAACGGAATCGCACGAAACTTTGCACAGTTATTTGTTTTTACCCCGGGAAGGTTATACATGATTTTGTTTGCAAATATGGTGTCAATTTTGCGAGGGGGCGTGACACCTCCCATAGGCCTGCAAATTTTTAATCAGCTATAACTTCGGAACCATAAGTCACATGAACTTGAAATTTGGCATGCAGACAAACCTATGGTAGATGCTTATAGCAAGGTATATATAAATGACTTTGTAGGAGGGGGCGTGGCATATCTCATAGTCGTAGAATTTCTAATTAGCCATAACTTCGGAACCATAAGTCACATAAATGTTAAATTTGGTATGCAAACATATCAATGATAGGTGCTTATCAGTTTTCAGTTCGCTTCGAAAATAAAATGTATGATAATTATATTGGAAAATGCATTTATGTTAATAGATACTTTGAAGTATTAAAAAAAATGCTGTGAAATCATATTAGTATAATTATAAAGTATTTCTTCTATTAAATATATAATTTATTGAAGATATTTTAACCTAAATAATACACCTGCAGTGCCAAGAAATTATTATTGCATTTCATTTCATAACACCCAAGCTAATACAGCTGTCCTACCGTATGCTGCTATCACGGCTATATTAAAATTAGAGCAGAGAGCATAACATCTTTACATAAAGTATTTTTCATATTTGTATAAAACGTGGGGTCAAACCCGCGGGTAAAAGCTAGTATACAATAATTTTGAGGTAGAAAAATAAAACTGAATAATTATTATAAACATTATTTTTTATGGAAATAGAAATAGTAATAATAATTTATTTTGAGTGAAAACATAAAACTCTTATTACGCTGGTTTACATCAAAAATGTTTTATGTTTAACTGGTGTGGAGTCCACGGACAATACGTTCAATTGGGTTGATGACTTGTCGAAAGGCGGTTTAATAAAGCCTAGTTCTGCGTTGTTGAAGGAGTTATTTATTGTTCTTAGAA